ATAATTTATATTAAAATCTAAATTTCTTATTTCGTAGAAATAAGAAACTTTTCATTATAAAATAGATTATAAAATATTTTCTTTTATTATTATATAATGCTTAAATTCAAAAAGGTTTATATTGATAGTAGTTATAAAGTCAATGGCACTTCATCCGAATTTACGATAGACTTGCCTGAAACTGTCCAACTTGAAGATAATATGTTATGTCAAATACATGAGGTAAGCATTCCTCATTCTTGGTATTCAATAAACAGCACAAATAACAATATTTATTGGAGACATCAAGTTATACCCCCTGGTGTTATAGCGGGTATTACTTACCGTAAAGTAACAATTCCCGAAGGTAACTATACAGCGGTAGATTTAGCACAAACCATACAAATAGCGATTAATCTATTAGTGGATACAAACGACAGACCTAACACATATTCTTTAAGTTACAACACATCAACTAACAAATTTACAATCAGTTCTAATTATGCAACAGTTATTTTTGTTCTTCTCACTGATGGGGAAGTTGCGCCAGTGGCAAATTTGTTTAGTGACCCTGTTGATGTTAATAACTTATATTCTTTAAACCGCGTGATTGGCAACACAACCCCGGCAACCGACGCTTATACTAATGTAGCACCTTATACAACTAATTTTATTGATTTAACACCTGTTAAAAATGTTTATTTGCATTGTAATGAAATTAGCAACTATAACCAATTAACAGTAGCGGGTAACTCAAGTATTATTAAAAAGATTCCCGTTAATGTTCCTTACTTAGGGGTCATTAATGATTCCGAGTTGAGCGTTGTTGATTATATTGACGTCTCTAACAAATTATTAAGAAGATTAAATTTTCGTCTTACTGACCATCTTAACCAAAATATTAATTTAAACGAGGTGGATGTTTCATTCACGATAACATTTTTTAAAGGTTAAAATAACATATAAAATTTCTATATAGAATATATGGAAACGATTAATAATGAAGTTCAAGAAAGTCAAAATGAAGAAGCAAATGAAAAGGTGGTTGAAAATATTATTGAAGAAGCGACCGAACCACAAGAAATTAAACAAGAGGAAGCAAAGCAAGAAGAAGCGGAAGAGAAACCGAAACCAAAAGCAACGGCGAAAAAACTACCGAGAACAGTAAAGGTCGTAGAGATGGTAAATTGTCCCGACTGTGATAAAAAGATGTTACCCAAGAGCTTAAAACATTCACATCCGAGAAATTGTAAAGGTCAGCCTTCGGAAACATTGCCCGTTAATAAACAGAAAAACTCGTATGGGTCTAAACTGAAGGAACAGATGAGAAAAGAAATAGAGGAAGAAATGAAAAGCAAATATCAAAACAAAGAAAACGAAATAATGCAACATAGCGAAGAAATTGAAGTCGCGAATGCACGCGAGGCTCAGCCGAGCGTCAAAACTAAAGCAATACCAAAACAACCCGTCGTAATGAAACAGCCAGAGCGACAATTAACAGCAAGAGAGCTATTACAACAGTCATACAACGAAATGAAGAAATTGAAGCAACAAGAGAAAGCCGAGAAAATAGCAAGGTTTAAAACAAGCATGTTTTAAATTATATTTAATAATTATTATCTACTATTGAATATAATATGAGCATTTTTAAGAGCAAACCAGAGATGAGACGTATGCCTATGGTAGAACAATACTATGATTTAGAAGAATCAATCGGAGTAGCAAGTCGGAAGAAAGAACTCGAAGACATGAAGTTAAGAATAGAAGAAGCGGAAAACAGAGCTAAGAACGTAGCGTTAAGGAACGATTGGATAAAACATCAGAAGCAATCGCTATATCAAGGCCAGTTAGATGATATCAATAGACAATTAGAGAGACCATCAATGCCAGTAAGAACGAAAGAGGAACTGATGAAACGCCAAGATGAATTAAAAACTATAATGAAAGAAATAATTTAAATCTAAAATAATAATATTAATGATTAAAACGTTAAAATCTGAATTAAAATTACGTCCGACGTATGATGAGTTAGTCGGTATGATTGAAAGCCAAGGCGACCCTAACAGACCACCAATAGAGAAAATAATTGACAGAAGAGCAACATTATTTAGAAATAATCAGTTCGGTAGTCAATTAGATAATGTTGATTTTTTGGGGTTGAAGAAACAAGAAGAAGACAAGTTAAAAGAAGAAATGAGACAAACACAACTGAGACAAACTGCTATAGCAAGAGGGACGTCGGTAGGAATGTTAAACGCTCAGACATCAGTAAGTTCATCAATGCCAAGCGGTGCAACAACACCATTTTTAGATTTAGGTTCAACGCCTTCGGAAAGCGAAGTGCCAAGTTTAGCCATAGAACAGATTGACGCAATACGAGCCGAATTAGAACGACACAACCAATTTATTAGGAATACGTCATCATCAACAGCCAATGAAGCAAGTAGTGAATTAAGAGAAGTGGGCGACCAAGAAATACCAGACGGTGTAATTTTAGAAGATGAATTAGAAGAAGATGATGACGATGAAATGCCACCGTTAGAAAGTGTGCCACCTTCAAGAGATGCGAGAGGAGTTAGACTAAGCAAAGTATCAAAAAGAATTAGAGGCAAACAAACCCCAACAACAGAAATACAACCTTCAACAAGTTCATCAAGCACAGCAAAAGACATATTAGTGAGTGGAGCAAAAGCAGGAGTAGAAACATTAGCAAAAGCAGGAGCAACAGCATTAGCAAAATCATTTTTACCAGTTTGAGCATATAAAACAAATTGTTCAATTTTTCAAATTGAAGAATTTCTTAATTTATCTAAAATAAATTAACAAAATCTATCTTATTTTATATTATATGTTACGGTTACGCCCGACGTTTGAACAAATTGAACGAGAAGCGAGAACAAGCAGATTAAGAATATTACCAGAACGTCAAAGAAGAACACAACAAGGGATATTATTAGATGAGGTCGATTTTGATGATTTTGATTTAGAGAAATATGATAGGAAGACAATACTATTAAACGAGAACCCCGAGAAGGGAACACAAACAGATGTATTCAATGAAACGCCAAGTATAACAGAAAGCGCAAGTATGAGAACACCAGAAGAAGAAATTAAAGAAGAACATGAGATGGAAAGCGAAGAGAGCATAAAGATAAGTGAAAAGGAACGCGAAAGGGAAAGAGAACGCGAGCAACCACAGAAAAAGTCAGTAATGCGAAGAGTTTATGATGCCATGTTTGGAGATGATGAGTTCAGAGAAGAAAGAGAAGAAATGCGAAACAGAAGGCAACAAATTGAAGAAGATGATTTAGAACGTGAAACACCTATTGAACCACAAAAGAGTGAAGAGAGCGATAACAGTTTGCCTATGAATGTTAAAAAATCTTATGAGCCTTCATCGGAATCATCAAGTTCTCGTAGAAGTTCGAACAGAAGTGCATTATTGCCCGTTGAAGAAGAAGCATTAAGCGAATACATTCATTCATCACCACCTGAAACAGTTCAAAGTTCTGTGCGGAGTGATAGGACTATTGAATATGTTGATGAACCATCGCCGCCTCAAAGCGTTGTTAGTTCTCGTAGAAGTCAAGAAACCATTGAGTATATAAGAAGCAGAACGAGTTCAAGGCGTTCAAGTGGTCAATCTGTAAGTTCCTAAGCCAAGAAATAACAGAACCGAGGTAATGAAAAATCATTGAACAAAAAGACTTAAAGACTTGAAGCCTTAATATAGTAAGCGAAAATGAAAGAGCCACTGTGTAGATTTATAGAGTGTGAGGTCTGTAGAATATTCAACGGAACTGCACTTTACAGAAAAGAATATTTCAACAGACATTTGAACAGTAAAGCACATAAATTAAATGAAGAGCTTAAAGCAGTTTCAGACAAGTTTAGCAACGAGAAAGACGAAAAGAAACGAGATATATTGTTTAAGGAGCTTGAAAAAATCAGCGAAAAGCAAACGAAAACCAGAAAATCAAAATCTTTAGATATAAACAGAGACCTAACAGAAAAAGAGCGAGACGAATATCTCAAACAGCGACAATCTGAACAAGACGAATATATTAAACAACGACAATCTGAACAAGAAGAAAGACGGAAAATTAGAAACAAAACATGAAAGTCAAAACTTACAACAAAAGGACTAACTATAACACGGGAAGCCCCAGAAGCTTAAAAAGTTGGGAAAAGACTGAAACGAAGAAGGGGGAGATATGGGGAAGAAATTAGGTTTATTGTTGCTATAAATCATAACAACAACAAACATTCAAACAAGCATATGGGAAGGACTTTAAGAATATAGGAACGCATAAGGTGGATAGATTAAATTTTAGGGGTGTTGTTATTTGTAGGATTTGTGGAATGAATGAGGTAGGTTGTCCTCAGAATCCCCTTAGGATAATGGATAAGGCGGGAAACGAGAGAAAACGAATGAGGGGATGGTAAAAAGTTGGGGCTAAAAATTCGGCGGGAAATACGGGGAAACTGGGCTTAGGAAATGCAACAGGTAGCGAAAGAACATAGAACTAAATAAGGGGGCAGGGTCAAGAAAAAGCAGAGCTGGGGGGCAAGTGGGTAGCGATATAACCCTGAAGCCTTAGCCTGTGAAACCCCCTTTTACATATTTTTTGGGGGGGGTGGGGGGGGGGGGGGGGGGGGGGGGGTGGGGGGGTGGGGGGGGGGGGGGTGGGGGGGTGGGGGGGGGTGGGGGAAAAAGAGACAGGTATGCCACAGGGTTCAGTCACCATGGCATGCAGTGGCCTGTGCCCGAGGTTCTGGATCAGAGTGATACACTTAGCCAGCAGAATTAAAAGAGACACCTGCGTGCCTTGCCAGCTGTACCGAGCCGGAGGCTGGTAACGCTCAGGTTTCATCTCAACGTGGTAGCGGAGCTTCCGGGAATTACCTGGAGTGCTCTGTACCAACAGAGGTGTCCAGGGTAATCCTTGGCACGCTCTGTTCGGACAGAGGCAGCCAGAAGCTCGAAAACCGGAAGCCGATCCGAGCCCAATCGTAGAGCCATGGCAAGTCACTCGTACGACCAGTTCGACGACTACGAAGAACCAGACGGAGAAGCCTTAGCTGCAGGGAACAGGTCACTGGAAGAGCTTCAGCGTCTTTCTGCCTTTCAGCAGGTGACCACCAAGGTTCCCCCATCTTATGATGGTAGAAGTAGCTGGTTTGCTTTCGAAGATGCCGTAGACGACTGGTGTGATATCACAGAACTTGAACCAGAGAAGAGAGGACCCGCATTGAGAAACAGACTTGAAGGTGAAGCTGCTATCTACAAGAGATTGCTTGATCGAGAAGCTTTGAAGAACAAGGAAGATGGAGTCAGGTACTTCAAGCGCTTCCTTAGGCCTTACTTCGTGAAGGGTGCAGCGAACGTTTTCCTCTACAGATTCCAGCAGTTCATGAACATGCATCGTGGTAGTGGTGATATGCTGAGGTGGATGACAAGATTCCAGCTGTCCTACCAGCGCATGAACGAGTCATGGATGGACACTTTTGTTCCCCTAGTGAGTGAAAACGACCCCGTGGTGAGAGCCTATGTTCTAAGACTACCTCAAGAAGAACAACAGGCAATCACTCCCGAAGAAGCACTTCGCCGAGTCAACGAACAAGGGAGAGAAACACATGGAAGAGCACTACCCATCACAGCGAACCTCATTGCCCTGCTGTTCGTGACCCTGTCAGACCTTACCCAAGACCAAAGACAAGTTCTTACTTCTCTTATGGCGCGCAAGAACAGGGCACTCACAGATTACAGAGTGGATGAGCTGAGAACAGTGTATTTGGAAGTGTTTTGCACCACGAAGACCACAGTAGACAACCCTCTTCTAGCACCCACAAGTGCTCCAGGAAGGAAAAGTTTTATCGTCATCGATGAAGGTACCCTCGATGAGAGCCAAGGCTACTGGTGCGAGGACGAGGATGATGGCGCAGAAGGCTTCCTGGACGCCTTTGAGGATTGCTTCTGGGTCTACGACGATGAGTCTTACACGTGGTTTCAGCGGAAGTTCCAAGGTCGTAAGTTGCGACGTGGAAAAGGAAAGGGCAAGGGCCGGAAAGGAAAAGGCAAGGGCCATGGTGGCCGACGCTTTTTCAAACGCAAGAAAGGGAAGGCCCATGCCGCCGAAGACGTCAGCGCTAGCGAGTGGCATGATTGGAGCTATGAAGCCTGGACAGAAACTGATTGGCAAGAAGGAGCTGACGACTCCTATGCAGCCAAAGGTCGGAAAGGAAAGGGCAAAGGCAAGGGCAAGTTCTTCAAGGGAAAGGACAAGAAAGGAAAGGACGGCAAGGGCGACCATGCCAATGCCACCTCGGAAGCCCAGAGGACTGCTGCCTTGGCAGGCCCAGGTACTCCGGCCATAGCTAACGCCTTTTGGGTGCAGCACCACAGTTTTGTGTCCGAAGCGGTTTACAAGCAGGACTCCAACGAAGAAGATGTTCCCAAGTCTTTTTTGACACATGCTTTGTCCCCTACCTCTATGGTTTTGGACATCGGTTGCACACGGGCTATGACCTCGAGACAAGCAGCGAAAGAGTTCATGGGTTTCGTGGACCATCATCCAGACTGTGGTTTGTGGTACGAGTTACGACCTACAAACAGTCATTTCTCTTTTGCCAACAGCGAGATGGCCCAGCGCAAGGAAAAGATTGTGATCTTCATGTACGATCTTTCCTACACGATTCAGTCGACCGAATTTGACATCGTTGATCAGGGCACAGTTCCCTTCTTGATGTCGTTACCTCAGATGAGGAACCTTCGCTTCAAGATCTCGTTAGAGCCTGACGAAGCCCTTCTGTCAAGTTCAGTTCTGGGCATGAAGAACCTTCCTTTGAAGGTTGCTCGAAGCTCACACTTGATGCTCGATCTTATAGATGTAGCCTGGCATATGTGGGGAGTTCGTTTCGATGCACACAAGAAGGTGAGTTTCTTCATGACGAACAAGCACCACTTCGAGTATGGCTACAAGTTGGTCACGAAGGAATGCTCCCCTCCAGGGGAGGAATCCTCAGAAGCCTTGGTTGTGGAGGACGAATGGCACTTGGACGAAGGCAACCATCGTCTAATCCGAGTTCACCGCAAGGAGCGAGTTCAGTCCTTTGCGCCATCGAAATACTCCCATACCACTCGAGTACCTCGACACGATTCGGGAGACCACCATCAACTACAAGGATGGCATGAAGGAAACGCAGAATGATGAATGGAAGGACAAGCCTCCCGTCAAGTTTCCTAAGCCGTGGTTAGGTAGAACCGTTTTCAAGATTCTGCCAGGTGGCATAGAGAATCGCACCTCTGTGAAGGTGAGTACTCGGGGAAAAGGCCCCGGGCGCAGAGGAAAGCCTGATGACGAAGTCGTCAAGGCACCTGCTAGGAAGAAAATTACAGGTAAAAAGCCAGATTCTGGCTTAATGCCACATCCTTCAAGAAAGGAAGGCTCTCCTTTAGGAGAGGGATCCTTGCGAAAAGAAGGCAGCTCTTCCCCAGAAGAGGCACCTTTACCTTTCTCTCCAGGAGAGCTCTTTGGAGATGAGGACGAAGACCCATTTCCAGAGCTGAAGGGTAAGGGTGTCGAGACAACTAAATGGGATGATCAGTACTCTCCTTCTGAAGCTCCAGTGGAGCAGCCAGAGCCGTCTCCAGAGTCTAAAGAAGACAATGCGCCTGAGGAGCGCTTCGATCCAGAACCTAGGCGTATAGCGCTACCTCTTCCCGGGCAAGAAGTTGCCCGCTCTTCTCCGGCCTTTCGACGCATGATTGAAAAGCTACGAAGTGATGTGGAGCTGTACAAGTTGCATGTGAAGCACTACCACATGAGTTCCGCGCAGTTTCGTAGGCGTACGTCCATGTTAGGCCTTCCTGAAGAGATTTACGAAAAGTACGACCGCATCGTCAAGTCATGCAGGGTTTGCGGAACAACAGTTCCGGCACCGCCGCGAGCCAGAATCGCAGGCCTTCGTGCCGCGTCGTTCGGAGATCTTATTTTTGTCGATCATGCTGAAATCAATTACGGAGAAAAGAGTTATATCACTCTTTTGATTCTCGACGGCGCGTCTAACCTGCTTTGGGCTACGGCCCTCGTTGGACTCGAGGTTACCGAAACCCTTGCCGCATTTCGGAGATGGATCGAAGAGAACAACTGTGTTCCAAAAGGAGTAGTAGGTGATCAAGCCTTTTTCGCTGATGAATTCCTGGCATTTTACCGCTTCCATGGGATAACACATTATCCCTGCGGGCCAAGAACGCCGTGGCCGAACAGAGCAGAAACAGCAGTTCGTCTTTTCAAAAAGACATGGGCAAAAATGACAAAGGCTCTCAGAGAAGAAGGTTTCCTTGAAAGCATCACTGTTAGGGATGCTGTGAAGAAGGTTGTTTGGGCAAGGAATTGCCAACTCACAATCTCTGGCTATTCACCGCTAGAAATAGCCACAGGGCGTAGACCGCCTGATCTGTTGGACGTCGAAACAAGTTCACCTGAACAATTGTCAGCTTTGGCCCCTCGAGAGGACAGGACCAATCAGGAGTTGCAACGCATTGCTATGCGAGCACATCAAGAGGCAAGACAGGCCCAGGACCTTCGAAGCGACCTGGCTCGCCGAGTCATGCCCTCAGATGGTCCTTATGTCAAGGGGGACAAGGTGTTTGTTTGGATGAAGGATGAGTCTAAGATAAAGTCAGAAGGAGTATGGGTTAGAGGCAAGGTCATGGGACAGGAAGGTGCGATGGTCATTGTTCATGTGCATCAAGCCATCCTTCGAGTGAATCAGTCAAAGATTCGTAGAGACCATGACCCCTGGCATGATGTCCATATTCCTCTTGACATGGACAAGGTACCAGGAGGCTCTCCACCGGGAGAGGAACCTGGTGGTTTGTTTTGTGAATACGAGCCACAATGTTGCGCTGAACACGAAATTTGTTATCACACGCACGGGGGAAGATTTTGTGATGTCCTTGAAATCGCCCCAGGGCCTACGGGAATCACGGCCTGTATGGCTCGGCACGGGAACAGAATCGGAGAGCCAGTTCACGTGGAAAGTTGGCAGCCAAAGGCGATCCAGCAGAGTATCGCCTCGGCATGGAAAACTCTGTTGCATGCGTCACCCACGCTTGTGGTGATCAACCCAACGATACCTGATTCACTTGTGAGAAACAAGAAGGCCATCAAGACTTACTGGCATTTTTGTGCAGAAGTCGTTAGATGGCAGGATCAGAATCAAGGTGAAGTTGCTGTCGTGGGGTTGACAGACCAGGGATTTTTCACATCACAGGCTGCTCGTTCACTTCACTGGAGAATTGGCATGTCGTCGATTTGTTTCGGCCAAGACCAGGGAGCAACTCTCATGACGAATCTAGGAAGGGATTGGTTTGAGAGATTGAAAACACTGCGAGGAGTTTTCATGAGTAGTAGCACTTCTTTCTCTCCTAGATTTGTTGTTCTCTTGGCTGAATGTCTTCAAGGTACTGATCGTAGTGATTATCGACAAGAGAGTCTTTTCCAAGACCTCCTTGAGGATTTCGACGATGGAGATTTGTGTTCTCTGTGTTTGCGTGCTGATAGGAACAGTGAAGTCTGTTCAGCACTTCCGAGTACCTCCGAACAATCTTTTTTGAATGCTCAGAAGAATCAACTCCCTAGCGCCTTGCAGTTCATATTGCCTCAAAGGTTCGTGACGAGTTCTCTTGTTCAAGGACTCAGGGCGATTGAAGGTCTTGCTCCTGGAACAGAGCTGGAGGTGAATACCTCCACCACTCAGGAGGCTCAGTCGCTGAGAGGAGTCCTCAAAAACATCAGGGCTTTGACACTTCCGTATCTCGAGTTTGAGAATTGCAATGTCTACCGGGGGACTTTTGGTAAGGTTCTTCCTGTTATTCAGAGACATCCTGATGCCGTCGTGATCATGTGGAAGTTAGGAGACTATGAACATGTGTTTTTCATGAACCTCGCGCAGCTTATCCCATGTCTAAGGGACGTAGCGGTGTCAGGATGGTCGTTGATCGTGTTTTGGAATGAGATCGGTCCTCCCAGGAAAAGGAGAGGTCCAGACGTGTCCCTGGACTTTACCGATCAGCCAGTTCCAGATGCACCTCCACCAGGCGTGCCTCCTGGCACCTCTAGTGGAGATGATCCTGAAAATCCTCTTGGAGGCGGTCCTCCAGGACCGGTACCGGGATACCAGGACTACCATGACACACCCGTGCCGGGTGATATGTCGTGGGATGAGGAAGAGACTCAGCGTGGCCCTTCAGGGCCGGGACCTGATGGCCCTCCAGATGGAGCTGCAATTCCGATAGATGTGGATGGAGATGACGGAGGAAATCCTCCAGGACAGGGGGCCTTTCCGCCTGGAGGCGGTCCTCCAGGACCGGGACCAGGGTTCGGGCCTTCGCCTGAAGACTTCGAGGATGGCGGAACTCCTATGGAAGTTCATATGGAGCCGCCGCCTCCAGGTCCTCCGCCTGATGCGCCAGGCGCAAAAATCTACTCACATCCGGATCAGCCGCTTCTCCCGCCTTCAAAACCGGGGCCAGTGTTTAGAGCTCCAATTCCTAAGCGTCCGAATTTCCCAGCTCCTCCTGTTGTTCAACCGGCTTCGCCACGTAACGTGCCGATTACGCGTGCACGCGGCAAACATCCTGATGAGCCAAGCAAGCCTAAGTTACGCACCGAGGAACCGGCGCATCCGATTCCCGCAAGTGCGGCACCAAAACTGCGTTTCCCTGTTTACCCAAACAAGATTCCGGAGGCCGCTGTGCCTCTTCCGGGTCAGCCGTTGCCGGAGAAAAAGGGAGATCCGCAGGTTTCCGCTCCGTTTCCAGACGAGGATGAGACAGATCCGACCGCGTTTTCTTCACAGCCTAGCGGACCGCCAGGACTTCCCGTGGCGGAAGGAGAGTTTCCGATTCAGCAAACTCCCGTCGCGCCTCCGGCTACGGACGCGCCAGTGCCGGACTCAGACTCAGACGATAGCCAGGCGACGCGAGATTACGGTGAGTCGTCTCTTGCTTCCTTGGTCGAGGGGGAGGAAGATGTTCTTCTGGTCCTTCCTCACGATTTGAGTCCGCCGCAGTGGGCTGTTTTTGATGGTGATGCGTTTGCGTCGTGGCTTACTAAGCAGGATAAAATTAAGGCTGGTACGATCACTCGCAGCGTGATTGTTCAGCTGCCTCCCGACATTGGTTTGCCGCCTTGGATGGTCGGTCTCTGTTTGCGGCCGGTGTATGGCCTCAACGACGCGCCGCGTCGATGGTGGAATCGACTCGACAAGTTCCTGCGGACCATCGGCCTGCAGCCCACAAGGGCAGACCGATGCACCTATGTAGGATACGAAGGAGTCGAAAAGCAGAAATCGGCAGCAAAGATCGCAGAATTAAGAGGTAAGTCTATTCCAAGAAGGATGCTCTCCTCTAGGAGAGGAACCGCCAATAGGAGACTTACCGGGCATCATCACAGAGTCTCCACTAGCTGCGTTGTTATCTGCTTGTGAAGAACCGCCGTCTTCTCCCGACACCGCGGTAGAAAGGTCCTATTTAGCATACCCCGACATTGCGCAAGCCTTTAAGACCAAGCACCTGGTTGAGTATGACTGGAGGCCAGTCACTGATAAAACCTTGCTTGACTTTCTTGGTGGCGTTGCCCACAAGAAGAGAGGCTGGTTCCCTTTCGAGAACGGCCAGGCCCTAGTGTCCCACAGGGCGAAGGCCTTGAGAGGTCCTGAACCGACCTATAAGATTAAGGATTATCCCTACCGGGTATCTATCACCTTGCGCCAAGGAACCTGGTGGGTGATTGAAAAGGCTCAGGACCTTAGGAACAAGAACGAGCCGAGCTATCTCGAGGAGGAGGCTGAAGTGCTCGTGACACTGTTCCTTCCTGAAAGGGCAGCCTACAAGGCCACAGAACAGCTTCCTCAGCTTACCCCTGAACTTGTAGATCAGCTCTTAGAACACTTTGTTGATCCTGTTCATGGTAGCCCTAGTAAGCACAGGAAGTCGGTAGGAGTCCTCAGCCTTCATGTTGATGACCTGATCATCGCTGGAACCCCAAGTTTCCTGAAGTGGTTCTTGGCTAGGGTCAAGGAACATTTCACCATTGGACATGAAGACAAAAATGATCTTATGTTCACTGGTCAGAGGGTTCGATGGGTTGTTGACGACAAGGGCAGTAAGAAGTACATCTCAATTGATCAGAAGTTGAGCGTCTCAGAGCTCGAAGAGATCGTCATCCCCAAACACTTGAAGGACACTGATGTGTGTGACAAACAACTTCACACCTCCTACAGGTCTTTGCTAGGTAGTATCAACTGGTTGCAGTCCAGGACTCAGTTTCAGGCTTGTTACTCATTCTCACGTCTCGCATCGGCCTCAGCTGCACCTACGGTTGGTCACTGTAAGGAGCTGAACAAGCTCTGTCGACAAATCAGGAGTGAAGAGGTGGAGCTTAGGATTTGGCCAGTCCAAGGCACACCTCGCATCCTCGGCATTCCAGATGCTGCTTTCAGAAACAACAGTGACAAGTCCTCACAGAGAGCGATGACAGTGTTTATCGCCGATCAAAGGGTAAAGAATCGTAGGGACACCAGAGGCTCCCTGATTTTCTTCGAATCCACTAAGATCAAGAGGACTACCTTGAGCACGACAGTTGCTGAGCTGTATGCCTTGATGAAGTGTTTCGGCACCTGTCAGATGCTAAGGGGTTTGTGGAAGGACATCAGTGGTCTAGATGCCGAGATCCATATGCGAACTGATGCAAACAATTTGGTTACAACTGCTTCAACCACTCATGCCCCTGAGCAACAAGAAACCATACACATGATACAGATGCTTCGAAAGGAAGCCTGCTCTGGGGCCATTGCGGACCTCTCACATGTGCGCACAGAACACTGTCTGGCGGATTGCTTGACGAAACGGTCTGCCAAATCCACCAATTTGGTTCAGTCAGTTCAAAAGGGCTGGCTGAAGGAGATAGATGCTCACCCTCCCTTTAGGTCTCTTTTGGAACACAAAGCTTTTCTGAGCGCCTGGCTCCGGAAGGAGCTGTCGGGTTTTCAGTTTTGCAGCAAGGTGTGTTTCATGATCAGTTCTTGTGAAAAGAAAGACTGAGAGAGAGACGAGGGAGTGAGGGCGCCTTTTGCAGTCATGTACTGTCATGTGCACTGAAACAGTCACATGTCCTTGTTTGTCGCTGCAGTAGAGTTTAGGTCTCTTTTTAAAATTTGTGCCTGCAATCTCCGAAGCCCGTCGGTGCTTCCCACGCTTTAGCTGCCTACCTCTTCCCTGCTACGGAACCATGGCAGCCGCAGCGCTCACTCATGCCGCGTGGGAGCCAAGTGTCGGCTTCAAGCCGCAATTCACACCCGAGGGCGAGCCCGATTACAGCCACTGGATCAACTCCGTGCATTGGAGCTCAAGGCGGATGCTTCTCTCGAGAGAAGGGACCGCGTCAAGCCTCTACAGCGGCACGGGCAGAGTGTACCTTCCAAGTGCAGATGGCACGAGGAATATGCCTAGGGACGTCTACCCATACACCTTGAGGATTGCTGACAGAGATCTGCCTACCATAGAGGGCCAGTTAGCCTTGCTCTGGCACGTCATCCTGTACGAGGACAGGACAGGCAGAACGATCCTCAGCAGTTCTCAGCGCTGGGACTTCTACTTCGTGACGACCCTTTTGGGGTGCCTCTCGGTTGAGGAGCTGTACAAGTTCACTCTCACCACCCAGCAGGTAACGAGAGAACAGAACACTCCTTATAGCAGCACGGTCAGCGCCTCCAAGGCATTCTCTGCTGTGTTCCGCCACGAGGCCGTGCACAGGAACGATTTGGACGAGATGAACTCTCTCCCTATTGGATCCTGTAACACACGGAGAGTGATTCCCAGGCAGACAAACGCCGTTTGGTTTGCCGCCTTCATGCTCACCAACTCCAAGGGAAGGTTTTTCACCTACGTCCGTCCAGCTCCATGCTCGCCCACAGGCGAGGTAGGAGTGCAAGACTTCGCTATGAACATACGCCTTGGAGCAATTCAGGGTCATACTCGCGTAAGCTCAGTCCAAACTGAGGAGGCGCTGGGTATGGAAATCACCCTGGGAATGGCAGGTCGCCTGGGATATGTTTTCCACGCCACCGAGAAGTGGAACCACGACAACATCCTCAAGCAGGGGTTAATCACGGACGCTGGAAGGCCAGGTGAAAAGAGGGATCCGCGGTGCGCTGTGCACTTCACCTACGCTGGTGGGGAGGAGGCCCCAAGGGCTGGCACTGTCATCCGCTACGGCTCGAATGTCATCTATGTCGTGTTGGACCTCTACCAGGCCATTTCAGACGGGTGCAAGTTCTACCTGTCCGATAACGGTGTGATCCTGTGTGCCACCGAGCTACCTGCATTTCACCTGGAGGCCCCCTCACGAGAAGGACCCGGGTGGACGCAGGTGGGAAAAACGCGAGGGACGCTCAGCACAAGCTGAGGAACCCTCAGCTCCCAGTTCAAGCCCTCGTGGCCCTGCGTCCAGCTCAGCCGGGACCAAAGGGAGCTCTGCCTCAGCAGAGGGATCCAAGGGTTCTGGAACAACAACGAAGGAAGCTGGGCGAAGTGCCTCACTTTGATCTCACTTCCCTTCGAGAGATCATTGAAGAGGAGGAGAAGAGGCATGTTCAGCAGTCAGAAACAAGCTCAGAAGGGAAAAGAATTCCTTTTGAGCGTGGCATGGAAGTTGAAGGGAGTGTAAAAACTTCTTTGACAGCTGAAGCAGAAAAAGTCAGGGCCCAAGAGGACCTGATCCGACAGCTTAGGGCCAATCCTTGGACGCTGTTCTACAAAGGCACCATTGCCTTGATGGAGGACAATGAGCGCAAGGTTGACTCCTACGGCACTGGCTATGTACAGGTTGTTCGATTCCGAGATGTTCATGTCAGTGTGAGAAAGAAGCTCCAGCTTGATCAGGCTCTTTGGTTGCACAATCCTCTGAGTGGATACCCGGTTCTCTTCTTCCTGGAGGCATTCAGACTGGGGAAGATAGCCGCCAATGTGCTCATTGACTTTCAGTTGAAGGTCTCTCACTATGACCATCATACTCCACATTGGGATGCGGACTACTTCACCGAGCTCAGATCTAAGGCCGAGTCAGTCTTCACCCCTGGAATTCTTTACGGGAGAGCAAAGCCTGAGGTCACAGATGAGCGAAATCGAATGCCAGTTGAAGGCACAGAGAACTACGCTGAGAAGCTCGCAGAGTACCAGGCATTTCGGCACGAGCTGATGGTGGCCCAGGAGCTCATCAACATTCAGAGCGATTTCGTCAACCTCTACGACATGTTCGTGGAACTCTATGGCAGTGACTTCTTCTTGTACATGAAGGAGAATCGTGACAACCAAGCACTTCGGAACAAGTTTGTTGTGCGCGCACAGGACAATAGTGAGCATAGAGATTGCTCATTGAGGCTCCCGTTTGAGCCCAAACTCATCCTGAAGAAAATCGAACGCACCGTCGCTTCGTACCCAGAGCGGAAGTTCCTCTCTCGCTTCGCTTCCAAGGCCGTTCAGGACTTGCAGCAGTATGTGCAGATTCGCCAGTCCGAGGAGGCATTCGTCGACTACTACCTTGGCATTCCTGTGGAAGATTTTGAGCTTGAGAGAACCTTCGAGAACAATGAAGGAACCATCAAAATCGAGGAGGTCATCGAGGTCGATGAATCCTGGGAAAGCTCAACACGAGTTGAGGAACCCAAGGTGGCGCCTTCCTCTCTGGATGCAACAATGGAAGAGGAAGCGGGCTCTGCTACAGCAGAGGGACCACCACCATCTTCCGAAGCGCACATCAAAGAAGAGCCAATGCCCGATGCGACCGAAGAGGTCAAGGAGCCAGATCCCGAAGTCCAGTTGAAGGTCGAGGAAGGTGACTTCAAGGTGGAGGAGGAGTCCTCTACGCCAATGGTCACCACTGGGGAAACAGAGGGAAGCTCACTTCCAAGTGAGGCACCCTCGGGAACGCCCCAAGGCCTGTGGGGTAATGTACAGACTGTTATTACTCCGCAGGATCTCCAAGAGATCACTCAGCAGAATGAGGATGCTCTTCGATCCTTCGCCGACAAAAAGGAAGAGGCGACCCTGGAGCAGTTGCCCGAGTACCAGCGCTTCATTGATGAGCTGGAGAGGGTTGAAAAGGGTTCGCCCATCTACATCCTCAGTCGGCAGAAGTGTGGAGAAAGTGATGGCATTCTCCATGGTGGTCTTCGGGCGCAGTCGGCTCAGAACCGATTTCGACTCCAGCATATGAGCTGGAGGGATAGAGCGGCTCCTGCTCGGTCAAATTGGAAGTTCCAGGTTCCAGAAGTGCCCTTCTTCGAGACAATGGTGACGATGCCACCGTTGTGGGAGTTTCGTCCTGCAGCAAAACAAGTGGCTTTCAAGAGCATTGATGTGAGGAGCACTTTTTCGACTGATGCACTTGAGAGATCATACAATGCCCATGTTGCCATTGCGGAGAAGGAGGCGCTGTTGATGGAGTCACTGGCAAAAACCAATGCTACGAGAGGTGATCTTCTGAACACCCTTCTTCGGCACTTTCTGGCCTGTGGAAGTCTCGAAACCACGAGCTTGGGAAGCTCAGCCTTTGCTGAGGAACCCGATCCAATGGCAGAGATGACGCATTTGGCCACCTCCAGAGTAGGTCTTAGCGTGATGGTTGCCAACTTGGGGAACTTCGCGAGGGGCAGAAAGGGCACACTTCCTCCAAAGTATGCCGACCTCATCTCGGATTACTCCGATGGAAGCTCCATCATTGTGAAGTTCCTCTCTCACTCCAAGGCACATGTTATTCTGCTGCAGGAGAACAACATGACGAGAGAAGAGTTGGACTACTTCAGGTCCAAGGGCTGGTTGTTCCGAACAAATGAGGCAGGAGATCTCCTCACTGCTGTCAGAGGAAACACCAAGGGCAAGAACAAGGTCAGCTTCAAGCACCTTGCTGGTCCGGTCCTCAAAGACCCTGCGTATTCCTGGATTCCCATCAGATATGAGATCGTCCAGATCAACTTTGGAAGTACCATTCCTCGAGAGAGAATGGAACAAGAAGACCTGGTTGATCGAGTGGAGTCCGCCTTCGAGGAGGCTGAGTTCAAGGAAGATCTCACGCGTGCAGGCATGAAGTCAATTCGTGTCTGCAACTTCCACGTTCGAAGTGAAATCGCACGCTCTAAGCCCGGCTTCTTGGCCGAGGGACTAGCTGCGATGGTCGCTGACTGCTTCCACTACCAAGTGGATCTGATGGGCGGAGATGGCAACGTGTCATGCTACCGATTCGGAGGTAGCCAACAGGGGTCAGTGTCACACGACAGCTCAGCCCTTTTCTCGACGATCCAGTACTTCGTCGACGCCTTCGAGAAGCACCAACGCCAGGACAGGTTGTTGATCCCAAGGACACGCGTCGTGACTTCGAACCCTCTACATCTTCTCAAACTCTACGAGGAGAAGCTTGGGTTCCCCTACGGCGATGTGGGCCACCTAGTGGATTGGACGACGTTTCCTGATTTGGACTGCATGACTGCCATCGTCTTCGAATGGGGTCATAGCATGACCAATGAGGTGTGGGCTGAGTACAAGGGCAGCATGGAGTACAAGGTTTCGGTGAGTGAATTCTTGCTGCACTCGACGAAGAACCACTTCCTCCTGAAGCCCTCGGACAATGACAGTCACACACCACTGCTTCTACACATCGCTCCTAACTGGATGAAGTTCTCTGAGAAGAAGACGTACAGGTCGAAGGAGTCGATCTTGCAGGCGTCCCAATCCAGGAAAGAGAGACAGAAGGCTAAAAAGCGTGGTGCTCCTGCCGAACCAGTACAAGGCGAAGGTCGTGCTCCACCTGGCAAAGGCAAAAGCAAAAGCAAGGAAGGAGGCTCGCTTCCAAGTGAGGAACCTTCAGCAGTGCCAGAGCCAGCAGCTCCTCCAAAGGCTAAGCCAGCGGCGAAGCCAGCTGCTGCGAGGAGAGAAGTCTCTTTCGACGACAACCCTGAAGTCTACGAGTACGAAGCCAGTGGTAGAAGGAGACATGAAGAACTTTGGGCGCCTCCAAAAGGAAAAGGGGCTGGTAAGGCCAGAAAAGG